CGCGGCCCCCTCGGCCAGGCGAGCGCTCACCTGCCGGCCGTGGGCGGGAGGCCGAGCCCTGCACCCGGGCCGCACTTCCCGCCGCGCTGGCCCGGGCTTTGTGGCCGACGAGCCTTGTTTCGCTCCCCGTTTTGCTTTGACCACGGAGACAAAAACTCAGCGCAGGGCAGCCCCTCTCCCGGCTCGGTTGTGTCTGTCCCTCCGGGTCACGTGATCTCTAGACGGCCTGCGTCCTCTGTGGCAGGTTCATGGCCCTTCGTAGGGGCACCTGGCTGCCAGGTGTTTTCGGTGAAGTCCCAGGTTAGGCTTCCGAAGCGGCCGCGCCATGGAGACGCCTGTGCCGACGCCCTTTCTCCTGGCACGCTGGGAACCGAGAAGGCGCGGACCCGACCGCCAGCCCCGAACCACGTGGCGGGTGACAGGCTGGGCCGTGGGGCGTTCGTGGGTGGCCAGCGGGTCCCCTTGTGAGCGCGCTGCATGTGGCTGCAGCCGTCGGGCGAGCTAGCCGTGGAGCCGGTGGGCTCCGGTGCCACGGAGACAGCGCTCTGGGCGTGGCTGCTTTCGAATCGCCGTTGGGGAGGGCGGATGGGGCGAGGCCGTGGGGCCGGGAACTGACTATTGGGAAATCCCGTGCAGGTCCGGGTGGCCTGCTGGTTGTGAAAGGACTGGCAGCGGGGAGTGGTTCCCTGTCATGGTCGGTTCTCGACCTCCTTTGGGCGCTACTGGCCCAGAGTGAGCCCCCTGGCCAGAGAGAGGTTGCATTAGGGATGCTGGGGCTCCCTCAGTAGGGCAGGCCAGTCCGAAGCCCTGGAGACACGGTGGGCAAGGGTGGACGAAAGGGTGGACGGACCCTGGCGGTTAGAGCCCTGAGCCAGGGTGGGGGTCAGAGGCGGTTCCCCAGAGAGGGCGGCAGCGGGAGTGCTGGGGGCCCCTTGGGGGAGGGAGGACAGAGGCACTTGCCATGCCCACGCAGCCCTGCTAGTCAGCCCAGCCTGCAGCTGCAGGTAACTGGCCCTGGGGGAATGTGAGTGGGAGACTTGCCCTCCCAGGAGCCTGGCCCGTCCTGCAGGCAGGGGCTTCCCGGGAAGTCTGTTTGCAGCCCCTGCCTGCCCAGGGGTATGAAAGCATAGGAAACCCGCTTTCACAGGGCCGGGGAGCAGCCCACGCAGGGAGGTGGCTAGGCTGGTCTAGGTGCCTGATGCCAGGCCACTGTGGGGACTTCCTCATAGATCTTGAGGGCAGTGGAGGCTGGCCTGTGGCAGGGATTGCAGAAGACCACCTCAGCCAGGAAGCCAGCATCCGTGTGCCGTCTCAGTGTGGGGTCAGGGCGTTCCGAGCCCAGCGCAGGGTGGGGATACCCTGGCCATCTGGGAAGTCTTTGATAAGAGGCTGGTGACTGCAAAGCCTTTCGATATGCAGGAGGGTCACCTTTGAGTCCAGGGGCACCTCGTGTCCCTAGTCCTTGGCTCCCCGACTGCCCTCTCAGCCCACCCCCTGCACGACCGCTCCATCCTGGTGTGCTGTGGCACTGTGCCACCCACGCCCAGGAGTGTCCTGTGGCTGGAGTGTCATCTGTGTCGTGCGACCATCACTGATGTCACAGCAAATACTTAACAAAATACGGAGCAAACGTCTCTGCAGCCCAAGCCACTGTCACTCGGACTAGAGGGCCAGAGAAGGCTTTTCTGGAGGCTGAGGGGCTCTGACACAGACCCTGGAGGACCTCCAGGACTGGCCAGGGGCTAGCCCCCTCATTGGAGATTCCTGCTTGCTGTCCGGAGTGGTGGATAGCCACGCGGCCTTTCTGCTCAGAGATACCCTGGGTCCGTTCCTACCTGTTTCCACAAAGAATCATTTCAGAGTGACTCTGCCTATCCCACCCAGCACGGGGAGCCCCGGCCCCCCGCGTGCCTCTCTTGTCCAGCCATCTCTGAAGCTCCGGGGGCTGATAGGAAGGGGCAGACCCTCAGGAGGCTGTGGTCACCTGGCCCTGTTTGGGGTGGGGGCTGGAAGTACAGTTTTACTGTCTCGGCCATGTCCTATGATAACTTGGGTGGGGCTTGCTGAAATGCGTCTTTTCCCGGGGAGGTTTGTGGGTTTGTGGGCTGGCACTGAGGCTCCCTCCCCCACACAGCATGATGCACAGCAGCCTGAGCGCCTCTGCAAGTGCGGGGCGGAGCCCCATGGCAGGTGCTCCGTGGTGCAGCTTCGCAGGAGGCCCCTCGGTGGAGGGGCACTGGGCGGATCTCCACCCTAGGGAAAACCGGCTTGGGGTGGCCCACATCCCAGGCTGCCCGCAGGCCCCGTCGTGAGACCAGAACAGACGAGACTGTGAGGACGCACTGCGTGAGTGAGCCTTCGCTGTCCACAGCCAGCCCCCACGGTGGTGTCTCTTTAGACCTCGTGAAGTGGGTGTGCACATGTACGTCTGCGTGCGCCCACACTGACATCTCGCACACGCGTGACTAGGGCCCTGGCCCACGGTCCACCCAGGCTTCCGTCCTCTGTGACTACAAAGAACACATCCCTTGTCCCGGCTTGCTGGTCTTTCCACGTGGCATACGGCCGTGTCCTAACGGGTCTGACCTCTTCCTGCCAACAGGGTGTGTCGCGTGGAAGAACCTTTCTGTGGATTGAGACAGGGCGGAGCGTCCGTTAGTCCGGCTGTGGGCTTACTGTGCTGCCTTAAAAGGAGCACACGGCTCACGGACTGTGCCGGAGAGCCAGTTGTTTGTCCGGCTCTGTGCACGTGCCAGTGCAGGGGCGCGAGGACACTCAGCAACACCCGCTCAGCTACCCAGACAGCCCGCACACGCCCAGCGGCCAGCCCTCATGGCCGTCTTCGGCTCTGGGTTCCCACAGTGGGGCCCTGGCTGGTGCTCCACCCCTGGGCAGTGAGGCGTGGCCTCTGGGCACAGCTGCACTGGACAGCTATGCTGGACAGGGACAGGATGGTGCCCCCCCCACCCAGGGCCGCCGGGGCCAGAAGCTGTTGGTATGAACAGACCGAGGACACGGTTCTCGCGGCCAGAGCCTCTGGGACACGCTGGGCCTGCTCTTCACAGTAGGTCCCTCGTGACAGTGACCACCAACAGCCCCAACCCTTGGGTCATGTTCCGTCTCGATTGGTCTGTTGATGGTGTCAGGGTAGCCCGCTCAGCAGAGAGAGGGAGGAGCAGGAGCATCCCATGGGGAGCGGCCACCCCTCCTGCTCTGCCCTCCCTTTCAGGACTTGACACACACACACACACCCAGCATGTTTTCGCTGTCAGGTCTGGAACCAAACTGCACCGGGCCCGCCATCCTGCCTCTCTGGGCCATTGTGGGAAGGTGCCTTCCTTCAAGGTGGGGTAAACTTCTCAGTAGCCACTGTGCCCTGTGGCCAGCACTGGGGCGGAGCAGGTGGCTGTTTGACACCCCTCACGTGCACACGTGTCTATGGGTGTACGTACGTGTGTGTCTGCGGGTCTGTGACGTGCCCTGCCTCTGGTTGCACCAAATCTGCCTGGTTCAGTCTTGGCTCTCAGGGTCCCCCTGGCCCAGCAGCTGGTCTGCTGTGTGAGCGGAAATGGGCTGTCGTGAGGAGGTGGCTCCCCGGCCTCCCTCTCCACCTTCACTTGCCGATGCATTGCGGAGGCGGGGCAGCTGGCACTGCGGGCTGGCAACGGCCGTGGGCACCCCTGGCTCTCACCTGCAGCACTGGACCAGCAGAATGGGAGGCACCTTTGGCAGGTATTTTTTATGGGGGTGTCTATTTATTGTTCTCCTTTTCTGAAGTTCGTCAGGCAAAAACACTTGCTGACCAGGAACTTGGCGGTGCTGCGGGGCTGTCGGCCAGTCTGTCCCAAGGTGACCTGTTGGGAAAAGCACTGAGGCTTGAAGCCTAGATTAAATGTCCCCATGCTGCCACTGCAGGGCGCAGCCGCCCTTGTGTGGTGGGAGCCCCGGGCCGTGCGCACAGGGCATGACCTTGGGCCTGGGAGCCAGGAGCGCTTAGGAGCATGTGGGACCCAAAGGAAAGCTACTGGGCAGCGAGCAGGTGCTGGTGAGGAGCCTCCAGAGGTGGTGGCGGGCACGTGCTGCCCTGCCAGGCGCTGGCCGCCCAGGTCCACCCAGTTGGGGAGGGTCAGTGCCGGTGGCCAAGCAGGTGTAGCCAGGCTCTTGCTTGCTTCTGCAGGGCAGTGGATAAGCCTGGGGGTGCGTGACCTTCCCCCGACCAGCCTCACCAGGGGACCAGCCTTCCTCCCTCCCCCAGCCCACACAGCTGTGAAGGGGACGGCATTTGGGGCTGCGAGGCCTTGTGGTTCCTGTGTGGGACTGA